AGTACAATAAAAAAAAAAAAAAAAAAGAAAGCAGAAAAAGAAATAGGTCTCATATTTATAAGAATTGAAATCAAATAGAGTATTTCTATGTCTGCAGTGAAATTAAAATAGAAATTAATAACAAAAAGCTATCTGGGAAATCCACAAATATTTGGAAAGTAAACAACACATATCTACGTAACCATTTGCTCAAAGAAGAAATCACAGGGGAAACTGGAAAATATCTTGTAGTGAATGTAAATGAAGCACAGCATCTGAAAATTGTGGGAAGCAGCTACAGCAGTACTGAGAGGGAAATTTATAGAATTAAATGCTTATATTAGAAAAAAAGAAGAGGCTAAAATCAGTCATCTATACATTCGTCTTAAGAAACTGAAACCCGAAATAATTAAATCAAAGGAAATAATAAAGATAATAGAAATCAGTGACATAGAAAGCAGAAAACCTATAGGGAAAAAACTTTATGAAACAAAAAGCTGCTCTTTGAAAAGAACAATAAAACGGAACCTCTTCTGCCCATTTTAAAACTTGGGTTGTTTGCCTAATTATTAAATTGTAAGAGTTTTTATACAAGCTGGACAGAAGTCCTTCATCAAATACGTTTTGCAAAAGTTTTCTCCCAGTCTGTAGCTTATCTTTTCACTTTCTTAATTGTGTGTTTTGAAGAGTAAAAGTTTTTCCTTTTTGATGTAACTGAATTTATCCAATTTTTCTTTTTACGGCTCATGGTTTTTGTGTCCTATCTAAGAAATTTCTGCCTAACCCAAGGTCACAAATATTTTCTCCTCTGTTTTATTCTAGAAGTCTTATGGTTGTAGGTCTTACATTTAGATTTATGATCCATTTCAAGTTAATTTTTGTATATGGTGTGAGATAGGAGCCCTGGTAGTGTAGTGGTTAAGAGCTAGGCTGGTAACTAAAAGGTCAGCAGTTCAAATCCACCAGCTGCTCCTTGGAAACCCTATGGGGCAGTTCTACTCTGCCTACAGGGTCGCTATGAGTCAGAATTGACTCCACGGCAATAGGTTTTTTGGTGTGAGATAAGAGTCAAGATTCATTTTTTGCTTGTAGATATCTGATTGTTCTGGCATCATTTTTTTTTAAGGCAATTTCTCACCACTGAATTACCTTGACACCTTTATCAAAAATCAATCCACCATATATATGTGGCTCTCTTTCTGGATTTTCTATTTTGTTCCCTTGATCTATATGTCTATACTAATGACAATACCACACTGCCTTGACTACTGTATCTTTATAGTAAATCTTAAAATCAAGTAGTCTAAGTTCTCCAACACTGTTCTTTTTCAAAATTATTTTTGCTAATCTAGGTCTTTTGCATTTCCATAAATTTTAGGATCAGCTAATCAATTTCTACCATAAAACTTGCTGGGATTTTGATTAGGATTGAGTTGAATCTATAGATTAATTTGGGGAGAGCAGACATTTTAATAATTTTGACGCTTCCAATCCATGAGCGCCGTGTATTTCTCCCTTTATGTAGGTTTTCGTTCATTTTCATTGGAAATCTTTTGTAGTTTTCAGGCACATGTCTTGCACAACATCTTGTAAAACTTATCCTTAAATATTTCATGCCTTGTTATGCTACTGTAAATTGGTATTGTTTTTAAAATTTAAATTTCTAATTACTTGTTGCTGATTTTAATGCCATGCCAAAACAGATGGTCCTCTCACCTCTTATCCCAGCGAAGGCAGCTGGCATTCTGTTAGTAACAGAATTTTCTTTCTTCAGCATTTCTGCTGAGTTATCATTTATGCAAGGAGCCCTGGTGGTGCAGTCGTTAAAGCGCTCGACCACTAACCAAAGGGTCAGCAGTTCGAACCCACCAGCAGCTCCACGGGAGAAAGATGTGGCCATCTGCTTCCATAAAGATTTACAGCCTTGGAAACCCTACGGGGCAGTTTTACTCTGTCCTACAGGGTTGCTAGGAGTTGGAATGGACTCGACGGCAATAGGTTTGGGATCACTTATGCAGAAAAGAATTCAGAACGCCGCTAGCGAGCCACCCAAGGTTTTGTTCCCCTTTGGAGCCCCGTGGGGACAGAAGCAAAGCCATCTCTAAACTGGCATCTTGATGTGGCTTCTAAGACCCCAGCAAGAAGTTTCTTAGCTACCTGGATTTATTTCAAGACTTTAAAGTTCATTTTCTGAATCAAAAATGAAAAAAAGGATAACCTCTAGCTAGATTGATTAGAAAACAAATAAAGCATAAATTACCAGTATCAATTCTATGTGTATCTGAAGAAATTGAAGGCAGAGTTACAAACCTTTCCCCAGAGAAACACCCGAAGCCCAGGAGGAGGGAGGGAGCTCTCATTTCGAGCGCCCCCCGCGGGCTGGTTACTGTCCTAAACCTCCTTGATTTAGTATCGAATCTAAACCACAGAACAAACTTATCAATGAAATTATTTTCACTTTATAAATGAGGAAAGTGGTGCAAAGACATTAACCAACTTTCCCAGGGCCACACAGCAAGGGGCAGAGCTGGGATTAGAATCCAGCTCTGACTCCAGAGCCCGTGTGCCTAAATGCATTTGTTCTTTCTAGTCTTAAATTGGCATGGGAGTAGGGGAAGAGCTGAGCTGACAGGTGTGAAGGTAGATCATCCCCACGGAGCTGGCCTGAGGTCACAGCGTGAATACACCAAGCTCATGGGCATTATCAGCTTTTAAGAACCACCAGGGCTGAGATCTCATGAAGTCATTTTTAGCTGAGTTTTAAAAATATGTATTATTCAATTGTGTTGAAATAGTTCACAACACTGTAGCAACTGCCTTGAAATGTAATACTCAGGAGTACAGAGGACAGGTGTGACACAGTCTGCAACATACCTGTGGCCCTCAAAAATCACAAGGTGTGAGCAGAGGCATTTCTTAGCCTCTGACAGCGATGCACAACCATTATGACAACTACACCCTTTGTTTGTGTTTTTTAAGAATTTGCTGCTTTTAAGAAACTGGCATCAAGGCAGCTTGAAATCCAAACATTCCCCTTTGTTGTTAACAAGAACAAAAGGCCCTCAGCAAACCATCGGACGGCAACGTTGACCTAACAATGTTTATCGGCCATTTCTCCAGGTTGGGCTTTTACCAGAAGGTCATGCAGATTTGAATTTCCGGAGAGATTAGACCTCTTGTACCCTCCTGCAATCACACCTACCTCCTTTCAATTTGGGCCAGGAGTGAGTGGATTCTCTCACGGTACCACCTGCACTTCTCCTTGGTGACGTGGACATGGACCAAGCTCCCATCCTTCCAGGGAGCGTGGAGAAACCTGCTGCAGTACCTCGCGTGGACTGTCTTCTTGATTATCACCTGAGGGAAGGACGAAGGACGGAAGCCGCTTAGAAACCATTTGAAAAAAAAGTCTCCAAATGGCACCTCAGTCTCTTAGCAATTGCCTCCACTATAAAATTATAAAATTGTTAATTCAACCAAACGTGTACTGGGGTCTGCTCCATACGGAGCTCTGTGCTAGGTACCCTGAGGGATGGTCCAGAGAGACGTGTGACGTCCCATCCAGGCCCAGCGAAGCTAATGTTTTCAACAGGGAGACACTGCACACACATACAGCAACACACACACAAAGACACATATAGCAAAATGACAATGCAGAGCAGCAGACACCCAGTACATGGCACTGGGTTGAGACCTTGAGGACAGCAAGTCCCAGCAATGGAGGAAGAGTTTGCAGTGAACTGGAGGGTGACAGTGGTCATTCTGGAGGAGGTGAGACTTGAGAGTCACACACAGCATCTTTCCATGGCTACTCCCTGCCCCAAATGAAGAAAAATAGCCACGAACCCCACACCACATCTAGCGCCCTCTACTGGGACATAGAGAACTGGTCCAAGGACCAACGCTTCCCAAAGGGAGAGCTCCCAGAAGGCCGGTCACTATTCAGCACTCGTCCAGCATCCATAGCAAGTGTTCTCCTAGGCACCTGAAACACAATCCATAAACAAAATGGACCAAAATTCCTACTCTCCTGCAGTTTAAATTACAGTGGGAAGAAGTGGATGGAAGGGGGTGGGGAAAAGTTAAAAATCTGAAAGAGAAAACCTCAGAGAGAAGGTGATATTTGAGCAAAGGCCTGAAGGAATCAAGAATATGAGCCACCTTTGTGTCAGGGGGAAGAGCATTCCCATTAGAGGGCACAGCAAGTACAAAAGCTCTGAGGTAAGAGTTTGCTTAGCATGTTTGCAAAATTTTAAGAAGGCCAGTGTAGCTGAAAGAGAGGGAATGAGGGGGAGAGAAGTGAAGCTAGAGAAACAGAAGCACAGGCAGGAAGCAGATCCCGCAGGCCTGATAGTAGATGGGAATGAGTCTGGCATTTCCTGAGTAAAAAAGGAATCATCCAGGGGCTTAAACAAGAGAAGTGACGGAATCTGGTTTATAATTTTAAAGGATGACTCTGGTTACTCGGCTGAGTATAGGCTGTAGATGGTCAAGGATAGAAATGGAGACAGGAGGGCAGTTAGGTAGCATGGACCAGGTCTAACGGTGGAAATGGTAAGAAGTGGTCTGACTCGGAATTCTGGATATTTTATGATGATAGTGCTGATAGGATTTAATGAGAGATCAAACGTGGGTACAAGAGAAAAGAGAGGAGTCAGGAACGACTCTAAGGTTTGGGGCCTTGGCAGCTGAAAGAATGGAGTTGCAATAAATTAATAGGAAGATTACAGGAGGGTGGCTTTGGAAGGGAAGATCAGGATTTAGTGTTGGATATGTTAGGTTTGAGATACCTATTAGATATCCAAGTAATACAACAAGGAGGCAGGTGGAGATCAGGGAAAGACTCAGAGCTGGAGATACAAATTTTGAAGTCATCAGCATACGCATGGTATAAAATGCCATGGGACTGGATGAGATTCCCTGGGGAATGAGTGTAGGTGGAGAAGAGGTTCGAGGACTGGGCCTTGAGGTCCTCCACCATTTAGAGGATGGGGACATGGGAAAGAAGTAACAAAGAAGACGGAGAACAAGTAGCCCACGCGGTAGTTGGAAAATCAGGGCAGTGTGTTTTCTGCAAGCAAAAGAAGAACTTCAGGGAAGTGATCAAGTATATCAAATGTTGATGACAGGAAGTATAGCAAATGTTGATGTCAGACCAAGTAAGAAAAACGCTGAGAACTGACCCCTGGATTTAGCAATTCAGGTATCCCTGGAAACAGTACATTTTGGTGGAGAGATTAGGGCTTTTGCCTGATTAAAGCGGCAATGAGAAGAGAGCTGAAGAATCAGAGAAAGAGGAGTTGAATTTTAAAGAGCAGAGAAATGAGGCAAATGAGGTAGAGCCAGAGGCAAATATCAGGGTCAAAAAATGTATTTCTCCTTGGTTAGTGTCTGGGGTCTTAAAAGCCTGTGAGTGGCCATCTAAGATACTCCATTGGTCTCACCCCTTTGGGAGCAAGAGAGAATGAAGAGAACAGGATACAAGAAAAAGATTAGTCCAAAGGACTAATGGACCACAACTACTATGGCCTCCACTAGACTGAGTTCAGTACAGCTAGATGGTGCTTGGCTACCACCGACTGCTCTGATAGGGATCACAACAGAGGGTCCTGGACAGAGCTGGAGAAGGATGTAGAACAAAATCCTAACTCACAAAAAAAGACCAGATTTACTGGCCTGGCAGAGACTGGAGAAACCCCGAGAGTATGGCCCCTGGACACCCTTTTAGGTCAGTGGTGAAGTCACTCCCGAGGTTCACCGTTCAGCCGGGGACTGGACAGCCCCATAAAACAAAACGGGATTAATGAGGCACAGCAGTCCAGGGACAAGGACTAGAAGGCAGGAGAGGACAGGAAAGCTAGTGATAGGGAACCCAAGATTGAGAAAGGACAGTGTTGACATGTAGTTGGGTTGTTAATTATTGTCATAGGGCAATATATGTACTGTTTAATGAGAAACTATTCTGTAAACCTTCATCTAAAGTACAATTAAAAAAAAAGAAAAAATGTATTTCTAAAACGGGAGAAATAACAGCACGTTTGTATGCTTATGGGAAAGATCTAGAAGTGAGGACAGTAGTGACGACTTGAAACAGTAAGGGGAGAATGACTGCAGTGAGGGGAGAGGGGATCCAGTGCACACGTGGAAGGGCTGACCTCAGACTGGAGCAAGGACAAGTCGGCCCTAGTAGAAGAAATGAAGGTAGAGCATACACATGCAGATGGTGGAGGACTTGTAGATGTGGAGGTAGACGTTCACGGACAGTTGCTTCTGACTGCTTCAATGTTCAGTGAAGCAAGGTTACCTGCTGAGAGTGAGTATGGAGAAGGTGTTGGCAATTTGAGGAGAAAGGAGAAGGTGCTCACCTAGAAGAATGAGAGACTGAATGGACTTGGAAAGCATCATAGCATTGTTGGGGAGCACAAAAGAGCCACACGAAGTTAGAAGTCATGAACGTAAAGTGAAACCAGGCAGCATGGCTGTGTCATTTCCTCCATCCACACTCAGCTGCACAGGTATAGGTCGGAAAAGGCAGGAAGCTGGATTTCACCAGGGCTCTGGCTTTGTCAGGCGCGTACAGTAATGTAAGAGAGGGGCAAGGTAGGTAAGGATGGATGGGAGCAAGAAGCTCATATGGCAGCAGAGCAGGACAAGAGGATGGGGATGACAGAGAAAAGGTGGTAGAAACAATAAATCGTACATCCCAGTGGGTTTGAAAGAGTGTTGGAGTTAGGGTAGCAGAGGAAATGACCTGAAAAGTATGGTCAGAGAGTGGGATGTCTGACACTGATTATGTGGGTTATGATTACACAGGTATTTGTAATGACAAGGCCAAAGGTACGCCTACGGCAGGAGTGATAGAGATGGAGGAAATCACTGGGGAAGAGGAGCTTAAAGAAATGAAAGGTCAGAATATCGTAAGGGTCATCCACATGGGACTGAAAACACTAAGAATTAAAACGGGTGTTGGAGCCGATGACAGCAAGCTAGAAGCTGAAGTCTTCAAGGGCTGATGATGGTGACTTGGGGCTCAGCGGGTAACGGCCACAAAGCCATGTAGGGGTGATACAGTCTGATGACATGGGTGGAGGGAAAGAGAATGGACAAACAGCAGCAAAGAGGAGCAAGGAGGACACCATGCACCTCCAGGCCCATAGGTACAAGGGGAATGGGAGAGAAACCAGCCCCCAACACTAGAGGGTTGCAGGGAAGCAGGGTCCTCAAGAGAGAAAAGCAGATGAAGAGAACATTTCAGAGGACTGGAGGATATAGGGGATTTGCTGATAAGTTCAAGTTCCAGAGGGCACAGTGGAGGGACTTTAGGAGGCGGGGAGGAGCGGAGGAAGGTCAAAGAAGGGATGGTCAGCCATACAGGGATGAGAATTCAGGAGTCGGGTGGTGACTGAGGTGACAGGGTTGAAGAGCATGATGAGATCAGTCCTGATGATCCCAAGACAAAGAGGGACATCACATCTCCACTGCAGTGCAAAGATCTCTCTCAGCAAAGTGATGACACCAGGTTCCTGGGGTTGTCACACAAGGGGGTTCGCCCCACTCTCAATCCCACGGCATGCCCACACACAAACATGCCAGACCATGAGCTACATGAGGACAGGTTCTGTGTCAGGCACAGAATCTGGTGGAATGGGAAAAAGCACAGTCTGAAGCTCAGCAGATCCAAGTTCAAACCCTGCCTCCAGTTGGCAAGACATGTTGGCTGAGTTTCTTAACCTCTCAGAGGCCCTGTGTCTTAGTTTTCTCAAGTGTAAAATTAGAGCACAAATGTATGTAAACCATACAGGCGTTCCCTGAAAGCTCATTTATGACTCACGACGTCTGTAATAAAGGAAAGAAGGAAACTAGCATCTATTGGGCATCTCCTAAGTGCCAAGTGCTGGGCTCAGACATGCTTTTTTTTTTTTTAATTCAGATTTTACACACTACCACCCATTTTACAGATATGGAAAGTGAGGCTCAAAGAGGCTGGATAAATTGCCCAAGGTCTCATAATAAGGAACTGGGAGAAGTAGCATTTGCACGCAGGTCTTCTCACTCCAAATCCAGTGCACTTTCCACACAGCACATTGCCTGGCACGTGAGAGAGGCCCAGGGGACATTCGTTAGATGAATTAAGGGTGAGACAAGAGCGGGCCTTTGAACACCAGGGCCGGCTCTGTGCACAAGCAGCCCGTGCAACTGCACACGCAGTGTGATTTCAGGGGTGGGTCCCAAACAGCTCGTTACTAGACGGCAGTGCAATTGATTACTGATCGATTACTTCTGTGCGGCCTTTCTAGCCACGGGCTTGTAACTCTCACCCAGGTGATTGGGCGGGACTGTGTGATAGGTTAATCCAAGGGGATTGGTCAGTTTTGCCTTAGGCGAGAGCCAATTCCAGAGCAGAGAGGAGCCCACCACCACCAAGGAGGGAGAGACCTGGCAGCAGGAGACTGCGCTGTACGCTTCCTGGCCCACAGAGAAAGCTGAGTGCCTTTGGGCAGAGTCGACGGCCAGGGAGAGATGTGCCTGCGAGCACAGCTGGGGAGAGCCTATCCTGATGGAAGAACCGTATCCTGAGTGTTCTTGAGCCTGAATTGTAACTGTTAACTTCCCTAATAAACCCCATAATTGTGAGTGTGATCTGTGAGTTCTGTGTAGCCATTGCAATGAATTATGGAACCCAGTAGAAAGTGCTGTGGGAGGGACAGTTGGTGTCAGAATTGGTAGAGATGGCGGAGAGAGGAGGCATGTGTGACCTCCACCTCATAGGAATCAGCCTTGGGCTGTTGATCTTGGTTCTCCTTCCTCCTTGTGAAGTTAGAGGAGGTCCGTCAGACACTGCCCCCAAGTCGTTATTACATTGACTTTGCCTGAAATTCCCTAATTAGAAACGCATTTTTGTCTCCTTCTCCCACCTGTCCATCTGTCTTAGAAAAGCTACCTAGCAAGCCTGTTAGTCATTTATTTTTCAGCGTTAACGAGTTTCTTGGATTTGTACTTACAAACAGGTTTTTATAGTCAAAACTTCAGGGAGGCTTGCCCAGTGGGAGTCTGGGGGAGCCCTAAATAACCTACCTATTTCATAGTTTAGCCTCAGTTTCTCCCCGCTTTATACACATCATAATTTAAGGTATAAATCCAGTTTCCGAAATGTAGCCCTAAATATTAAAAACACAATTGTCCCTTGTTGGCTAATATTTGTAAAAGAGGTTGGCTTTATACGTTTCAACTTTTACCATATTATTTGTTAGCACAAGAATTTGAGGTAAAACTCCTTTTTTTTTTATAAGCCCGATCCTTCAAACTGACCCTGTGAGATTTCATTTAAAACTGTCAAGGAAGAGCAAGGAGAAAACCAGTATTCGAGCTAAGTCTGAGCATCCCGCACCCTTGGGCGCTTGGGGGAAGCCAAATCGATAGGGATTAATAACTGTAAATATCCAGTATGGAATATATTTTAAAATGGAAAATTCAGTTCTGTATGATTTCCTGAACTAATAACATTATTGAATAACGTCTACGAAACCAGAAAACTTCTCTGCGGGAGGAAAGGCACAAACGAGATTTTCCCTGCAATCACTCTGCATCCTCATACAAGCCAGGAAACAAGTGTTGCGTCAACTCTGCATTTTTCTAATTCGATTTTTATATTTTCCAGTTTGTAGTTAATGTGTGGCATCAGGAAGGCAAACACACACGGGTCACCCACATGGGTGACGTGGCCCCAGACAAAAGGCCCTCCCCGGGGAGGGCGTGCCAGCACAGTCATGAGCGTCCAAGAGGCTGTGGTTTCCCCTCTGCAGGACATACAGATCAGAGCCCTTGAGAATACGTACAGTGACCTTGGACTTGAGGAGGGCCTCAGCTTCCTCCCCCGTAATCTCCACTGGGCTGCAGTCACCCAATGTCTACTCTGCTGCTTCCATTTTAGCTCTCACTCCCCGTGTCTACCATTGAGGTCCCTGGGTGGCACAAACAATTTCTACTCAATTAGTAACAAAGGTTGGTGGTTCGAACCCAGCCAGCAGTGCCAAAGAAGAAAGGCCTGGAAATCTGCTTCCATAAAGACTACAGCCAACAACCCTATGGAGCTGTTCTACTCTGTAACACAGGGGGTCGCCAGGAGACAGAATCGGCCTAAAGGCAATGGGCTTTGGCTGCCACAGAGTCGGTCCCCAATTCATGGCGACCCCATGCACAATGGAACAAAATGCTGCCTGGTCCTGTGCCATACCCGTGATGGGCTGCAGATTAGACTCTTGGGATCCACAGGGTTTTCACTGGCTGATTTTCAGAAGTAGATCAGCAGTCCTTTCTTCCTAGTCAATCTTAGTCTGGAAGCTCCGCTGAAACCTGTTCAGCGTCATAGCAACACGCAAGTCTCCACTGACAGACGGGTGGTGGCTGTGCGTGAGGCGCATTGGCTGGAATTAAACCTGGCTGCCCTGTACGGAAGGTGAGAATTCCACCACGGAACCACGACTGCCACCCTAGCCTTCCTTCAGCCTTCTAAATCTGGAATATTCATTGTATCCTGATTTTCTGTTGCATATTGTGACAGTTAAGTTTTTCTGTAATTCTAAACTCTTGACACTTAGTCTTCTGGTCACTGCTGTACACATCAGTGCTTCTCAAAGTGGGGTCCCTGGACCAACAGCATCCGCATCATCTGGGAACCTGTTTAAATACAAACTCTTGGGCTGCACCTCCTACCTCCTGACTCATACGCATGCAATGTTCAGGAACCACTGACACCGATCAGTCTCCTTCTATCGTGAGCCAGAGTCGGGCATTTCGAGAAGATGTATTCCTTTCAGATCCGTTTGGCACATGTTTTCAGTATACCCTCATCCAGTGCTATAATCTTTTAGAGGATTTTATTTTACATTTACTAAGAATCTACAAGTTCTGGCTAGAATAATGCATCTTTAAGACTTAAAAATACAAAAGGACCACAGAAATACCTAGTTGGGAATATTCACCAGCTAGTTTCTCTCTTCCATTCAATACAGGGGAACATTCTGACACACTGTTGAATAATTCTGAGTCTCATTATACCTGCATTTCTACAAGCTCAGCATCTGGCTTATGTATAATTCACTTATATCTAGAAGCACTTCCCAGAGTTGATCTCCACTCACAAGTACCATTAGAGGAGTGTAAGGTAAGAGGCAGAAGGGACATCTTTCTTCATGGAAGCCCAAGCTGGTTTCCCTCCATGCTGCCTTTCTACCTTGGTCCTGCCCTTGGCTTCTGATCCGAGGGAGGACTTACAGACCCAGGGCATCAAGGGAAGGTCCAGCCCCCACCCAGGAATCCACTTCACTTACCGCACTGGTCTTCACCGATTCATTCGCCGGCTTAGCTTTTATATCAACAACTCCATCAATATGGCGGAAGGAGCAGTCAGCAAGGACATCATAAAATGATAGCTTCTGGGCTTTCAAGCCATATTTCTGTAGCCACTTCCTGGAGTCCCAAGTGTCCTCTGGATTTGACTCATTCTCCACAGAGGCTGCTCCTGATTCTATTTCTGGAATCACATTTCATCAGCCATTCCTATTACGAGCCATTCATATTATTCCCCTAACTTAATATTTACTAAGGTGGAACATGTTCAGGAAATGAAAGTAGGAGTGGCAAAACAATTAGTTCACAGGACTGGAAAGCAAGAATCTGTTACTTTTCATCTCACTTCCTCCTCTACCTAAATTGACTGGCCCAGATTAGGCGGAACTGGCCGATAGACCAGGGCTGTATGTTGGGAGAGCAATAAACTTAGGATCGGAAGATCTGGGTTCAAGTCCCAGATCCACCCTTACTGGCTTGGGCAAGGTGCTCAGATGTGAATGAGTCACTCCACTTAACCTCTCCTGGTTTCAGCAGAATTCTTTACCTGCAAATGGAAGCTAGTATCTGCTCAGCATGCCTAAGTATACTGAGGTGACTCAGTGAGAAAGTGCTTTGTAAGGGGAGTGAAGAAGTAGGGGTGTGCAGCCTGCGGTGCGGTGGGAGTCATCAACCCTCCCAGCTGGCGGCTGCCTCCCAGGAAGCCCCCTTGTTACCCTGGCAAATTTATCCCGATTCAGAGCCAGGTCCTCAGCTCTGCAGGCTCACAGACCTTCTATGTCAGCTCAGGCACATGGAGCCATATCTCAGGACAACTCACCTTAGTCAGCTTCACTGGGTAATGTATAACCCAGAACAGCAATTTCCCAAATGTCTCCAGCCTCAGGCACCTGCCCTTGGTGTTTTCCATAGATCACCTATACGCTTTCCCTGGGAGGAGGTGTCATATTACCTGAACAGGATACCCTATAAGCCAGCTTATCATACAAACAGACAAGCGTTTGTCTAGGTGGCTCAAAACCCCTGCTGTCATCTAGGGGAGAACAGGGTACCTGGGGGAGGGGCTCAGAGGAGAGGGTGAGTACATCTGGAGTTGAGAAGGAGGCAATGGCGTTCTGGATCTGGCTGGCACTGATGGACGAGAACTGACCGTGCACATTTCTTCCCAGCCCCACCTTCAGTGGTATCACTTTGGTAGGCTGAAATTGACCGCGGTGGGAGTATCCAGAGAACTTGGAAATCAGCAGATGCTACAAATCAGGGTTTTATTTAACACCAGAGAGCTGGCTGCTGAACACTCATCCGCACGTCACGGGAAGGAAGGCAGGAAGGACCCTGAGATTTAGCCCCATAGGAACCACAGAGCACCAGAGGGGTATTGGGGGTGGGGGGTGGCAGAGATGTGCTGCACAGGGGCACGGTTTTTACAATGTGTACTATCACATATCAGGAGCCCTGGTGGCGCAGTGGTAAAGAACTTGGCTGCTAACCAAAAGGTCGGCAGTTTGGATCCACCAGCTGCTCCCTGGAAACCCCTATGGGGCAGTTCGACTCTGTCCTGTAGGGTCGCTGTGAGTCGGAATCGACTGGCCGGCAACGGGTTTGGTTGGTTTTTATCACAGATCAGGTCCGCCAGCCCTACCAAGTTTATTTCCACTTAGATCAGTGGCTCTCAATCCTTAGAATCCTGAGGAACTTTGAAAAATACTGATGCCTAGGCCCCATCAGATTCTGTTTTAACTGAGCGTGTGGCCTGGACACTGGGATTTTTCAAAGCTCCCGGAGGTGATTTAACTGTTCAGCCAGGCTTCCAGAATCACAGAGCCAGACAGTTTATTTGGAATTGAGGTCAGGTGAAGAGCTTTCTAAATCATGACCTGCTAATCCGTCAGTTATGCTTCCAGCAGACACAGATTCAAGCCGCATTCCACTTTTAATTAAAAAGTAAAAGTGGCTATTTAGGGAAACGAAATATTAGCTACACTGACCTATTACTATATTTAAGGGGATATACAATTACAATACAATCTGAAGAAACAAAACACTCAGCCAATCGCTTCTCGATAATATATAAAGGCTCTCTGTCCATTAATGCTACGTGTGAGCCACGTCCTCAAATATTAATAGGACATCTTTTAAATAATTCACTTTGACACCTACTAGTGTTGGAATGTCTCAGAAAAGCTTGTTTTTGGCTTTCGAAGTATAAACCCATCTGGGATCAAGAGGCCCTCGTGGCACGACAGCCGAGGCCAACGGGGGGTCTCTAGGTGACTCCGCAAGTGTCTGCTCACCCTGCTCAGGAGCCCACGTTAGTGGGAACGGGGTGGGGCGGGGGGCGACGCAGGCGCCTTCCCCAGCTTCTAATCCCTGAGGCTTTCCGGCCTGCTCTCCGGCATCACAGCGAAGCAGCCGTAAGGCCAGAACCATTTTGTTAGAGGGGTCAGCCTCCTGGGAGAAACGTTTTGGGTGACTGTTTCCTCAATTATTGTTCATTACACTCTAAGCCTCTGTCTCCTCTTCACTCTCATTCCTCCTCCCCCTTCCTGGTCAACAGGTGTAGCAGGAAATACACTTTTCATTCAGTTATTTCCATAGCAACACATGTACTATCGCCTCTTTCTGCTGTTTTGGGTTGCCTTCTGTTAAAAGTTCTTCAATTATAAATTCAAGCTTTACCATCAAAGAACTTTCTAAAACCACATGCAAATCAACCCTAACGAGGCTTTTTAAAGACCCAGAAACTAACTCTTTTTCACCCAGGACCAGGCGGTGCCGCCACCCTGGGGGCAGGATTCAGGTTCCAGTTACCAGCTGGACGAGGGGCTGGGGGAGATACCAAAGCTACAGGAACTTTCAAAGAGAAAAGAAGGGGCTGCCAAGCATTCAAAAGCAAAACACCAAGGTGCTCTAAAGCTGAAGACAGGAGGAAAAGGGGGCATCTCTCCCCTTTCAGTGTTGACTCCGTCAGTGGCTGAGCCTACTTTCCCCAGAAGCGGAAGGGAAGGCCGTCACCTGTTCAGTAGAGTCACTAAGGGGTCGTTTCCACTCGCCTGTAGTTACTTAATTAAAAACGTTACACGAATTCTCGCCTACAGAGCCTAGGATTCTCCCCTCATTTATTACAGAGATGTGAGTCACAGCTAGTCCTGATTACACGGCGTTCCTATGCCACTCCGCAGATTGCTAAAGACGGTCCTTCAGTGAACAGTAGGGAAGCAAATGGCAGATCACATCGACGCCACAGAATTAACTTGCCCGGTCTGCTGGATCCTACTCGTCAATCTCAGAGCTTTTTTTTCATTGTTGTTGAGAACTCAGAGCACTTTTTTAAGGAGTAAGACCTACTGGCCAATGCTTTTGAAAACCAACACTGCTATAGCCAAGGTCACAAGCAAAAAGACCACATGGGCTTTGATTGATCACCGCCCACTCCTCCCAACGCCCCTTGTCCACCTGTCCTCCAGGTTCATTCCCCAGGGGCTTACGGCCATCACCACCGTAAACTGCCCACCCCTGTCCTCATTCAGTGACAGCTACTTGTCTGGCACCTCATGCCTGCCATGCTAGGTCCATGTGCCTTCAGGGGAGCCTCAAGCTAATGAATAAACCAGCGCTCTGGAGCTGGAACAACTCTAGAGAGCATCGGGTCCAAGGTTGCCCAAAGTGCGTTCTACAAACACTACTTCCACTGCACGCCAGTGGATGCTACTCAGAAAGAGAGTTCCAGAGGCAGAGATTTGGGGAGCTTGAAAATAAACAGAGTTTGAACAGGTTCCTTATCGTGGGACTTCTCCAAGTCTTACAAGAATGGGCAGTGGGGCTCGCCATGGGCAGGGGCAAACACAGTATTCCCTAAAGTTATTTAGCTCCAGATCCTTTCTGCACAGAATATTTTGGAGGGCTTCAGTTTTGGAGTCCCAGTGGTCCAGTGGTTAAGAGCTATGACTGCTAACCAAAAGGTCAGCAGTTTGAATCCACCAGCTGCTCCTTGGAAAAACTATGGGGCAGTTCGACTCTGTCCTGTAGCGTTGCTATGCGTCGGAATTGACTTGACGCAATGGATTTGGTTTTCTATTTTACAGACCACATTTTGGTACACATTGTTCAATACCCCTGTTATCACCGATGCAGAGAGACACTAAACCAACCCTTGGCCACCATGTGGGAAGTGGCAGGGGAAAAGGACACCGTGACTTAGTCAAAGAGGAAACCTTCAGAAGAAGCTGGAAGTGATTCCTGACTTAATAATAACAGGCTTGAGGACAGCTGACAGGTAGGGCGAAAGGTGGCAACTGTCAGGAAAAGCACTGCTGGTGAAACAGGTGAGGTTTCAGACGTGTGAGCAACGGTAAGGTTCACAGGGTCTCTGAAGGTGAGACGAAGCGTGGCCTGGTCAAATCACCTGCTTGACAGGTGATTACAACACCTTTGTTCTGACATACTTGCTGACTGGTATGTTGTGTTAATCTAAGCTTGTAGAGTACAAGTTTAATGTCGGGGCACCTCAGGAGTTACACACACGGGTCCGAGGCCCAAAGAGATCTGGTGACCGTGCCTGAAGTCATACACTCAATATGTGACTGATGCCAAATGGGCAGTTTCAGAGTCTGCTCTTGGGGAGGACACTCTGTGGTTCTCAACATTCTCATTGGCAAAATGGAAGGGCCGGAATTTCCAGAATATCTTCAAGGAGAGCACACAGGGAAGGAACCTAACCTCAGCCGACGGTGTATTATACTCTTAGCATATTCACCTATCTCTGGGGAAAAGAAAAAAACAAAAAAAAACACTTCTCTGAATTAAGGATTATTTTTTACCATTTCATAGATGAGGAAAATGAGTCTCAGGGAAGTTAACTGATACGGTGGATTAATTACTTTTGTGTGTGGTCTTTCTAGCCATGGTCTTGTAACTCCCACCCAGGTGACTGTGTGATAGGGTACTTGTGGCCTACCAAGGGGACTGGTCAGTTTTGCCTTAAAACAGCCAATTCTAGAGCAAAGAGGAGAGCTCACCCCCACCAATGAGGGAGACACCTGCAGCAGAGGCCTGCAGGAGACGGCCCAGTGGGCCTTCCCGCCCACGGAGCGAAAAAGCTGAGTGCCTTTGGGCAGAGACTGAGGGCCAGGGAGAAGTCTACACCTGACCCATGAATATGGGACTTGCCAACCTCCA